CCCTAAACCTTAAACCCCTAACCCCCTAAACCCTAAAACCCTGAACCCCTAAACCCTAAACCCGTAAACCCTAAACCCTAAAAAAAAAAGCACCGAAATCGGAAACCCGGAGTGGCTGCGAACAGCTTGCAGCTGAAGGCGCCGTTGAGATCAACATACTTGCCCACAGCCTCCAGAGAGGGTTTAGGGATTTAGGGGTTTAGGGGTTTAGGGTTTAGGGGTTTAGGGGTTTAGGGGATTCAGGTTCAGGCCGATCCTAGTGTTCAGGCTATGCCGCTAAAATCCTAACCGAACCCCTGAGCCCTAGACCTTTGAAGTAGGCCTGAGCCTTACACCCGGCATAGGTAGATGGGGTTACAGAGTGGGTTGCAGGGCCTCTTCCTTCTGCAGACTAAAGCCCGCGGAATGGAGCAATAGGGTTTAGGGTTTAGGGTTTAGGGTTTGGGTACCTAACAACTTGGCCACAATATGATGGGCACCAGCAATCCATACGCAATGTCTGAGGTTGTATCTAAACTTCGTTGCCTACGCACCAGGGGTTGATTGACCTAAAACATCGAAAGCCCTAGACCAGCCCCCTAATCCTAAACCCAAAACCCTGGAAACCGAAATGCTAACTCTAGAAATCCATTGTATGAGCTATATATAGTCTAGATTCCTCGAATAGGCTATAGAAGGAATTATGTAGCGGAGTATTCTAGGGGTTATTCAGGGGGATACTAAGAGTTTAGACTATAGCTCATTTAGCGATTACATTCCCTTACCCCTGCTAGCCCACAGTAAGTAGAACCACGATAAAAAGAAGAACAACGTTTCCCACCTGAGGCCTTGCTTCAGCAAAAAATGACATCAGGGTTGACGGTTCAAGGCTGGAGGAGGCGGACAATTATGACCATGGCAACTTACATGACAGATTTACAGTAAGTAAGGTAAAGAAAATGGTGATGAGGCCGATGGTGATGAAGTCGTAGCAACGGCAGCGACAGTGGTACAGGTAGCGGTGCAGTGGTACCACTACCTTCACGCCCCCAAGCTAGGATCCAAACCCGAAATCGTTGAACCCTGATATGAGCTATAATCTAAACTCTAGTATCCCCCTTAGTAACCCCTGTAATACTCCCTATATAATCCTCTATATAACCCCCCTTTAAGGAGTTTAGACTATAGCTGCTATGGGGGTATCCCAAAATCAGGGCTACAGTCCCATAGCAAGGATTCCATTACATTTGGGGTCTGCGTTTTAGGAGCTCCAAGCCCCAACACTGAACCCTAAAAACCGAACCCTGAACCCTACACCTTAAACCCTAAACCTGAAGCCCTAAAGCCCTAAAACCCTAAACCCTACACCTTAAGCCTGAAACCCTAGACCTTAAGCCCTAGAGCCCTAAACCCTAAACCTTAAGTCTTAAACCCTAAACCTGAAACGCTAAACCCTACACCTGAAGCCTTAAA